AAAAAAAAAAAAAAAAAAAAAGAACAGCAGCTGGGGCTCTCGGGGGGCTCCCACCAGCCAGAATGCACAACTCCTGATTCACTGGGCATTGGCACAGTACTCAGCGGGTAGCCTGGACAGCCCTGGCCTAAGCACTGCTCCACACCCACCTAACAAATCATCAAAGCAAGACCCAACAGACCAAGCCATTCTCAGTAGCTTCACTGCATCTCAGAAAAAAAGCTCAAGATTATTTATGTGTTTCTTTTTCTGTTTGGTTTTGAGAGAGTCTCACTCTGTTGCCTGGAGTGCAGTGGGCGCTGGAATCACAGGCATGCACCACCATGCCCAGCTAATTTTTGTGTTTTTAGTAGAGACAGGCTTTCACCATGTTGGCCAGGCTGGTCTCAAACTCTTGGCCTCAAGTGATCCGCCCAACTCAGCTCCCAAAATGTTGGGATTACAGGCATGAGCCACTGCACCCAGCCTAACATGATTTATAAGAATACAAAAATAGCCAGCATCCAACACGGTAAAATTTACAACATCCAGCTTGCAATGGAAATGACCAGGCCAGGCGCAGTGGTTCACACCTGTAATGCCAGCACTTCCAGTGGCCGAGGCAAGAGGATGACATGAGCCCAGGAGTTTGAGACCAGCCTGAGTAACAAAGCAAGATCTCATCTCTACAAAAAAATATTAAAAGTTAGCGGGGTGTGGTGACACATGCCTATAGTCCCAGCTATTCAGGAAGCTGAGGCAGGAGGATATCTTGAGCCCAGGAGGTTGAGGCTGCAGTGAGCCAGGATCACACCACTGCACTCCAGCCTGGGCAACACAGCAAGATCTTATTTCAAAAAATAAAAAAGGAAAGAAAGAGAGAACAAGAAAGAAAACAAGAAAATGATGGAGGCAAGGAGTTGAGTTTGATTTGAGATTTAATGTTGGAATGGTTATTCTCATTATATAAAATTCTAGTGTTACCTTGTGTTTAGAATGGAGGCTATTTTGCTAGAACTTTAACTCCCCTTTCTCATAAGGATAACACAGTTGCTCTCCTCCATCCCCACATTTTAAGTTTTTTCCCATGGTGGTGAGGGACAAGGGAGCATTAGGGGAGAAGTGCCCTGTACCACCACCAGGAAGGAAGCTTCTCAAGAGTCTCCTTGGTCTTCCCTGTGAGTACCTGGTGAGAAATAATTCATTTTTTAACTTCATATGTGCAATTTATATATTATATGAAATCTATTAATTGCTCTATTAATTTTACAACCTGCTATCTTGCAGAATTCTTTTATTTTTTGAGGTAGTTTTACCAACTATTTTACAATCTTTTTCTCTAGGATTTTCCAGAGACACCATTTTGTCATCTGTAAACAGAGATGGTTCTTCTTTTTCAAGTTTTATGCCTCCAGTTCTTTTCTCTTACCTGATTGCATTGGTTAATGTATTAAATAGTAATAAAACTAAGAAAATGTTTGCCTTGTTCCTAACCTTAGTAGGAATGGTTCTAGTCTTTCCTTATTAAATACCAGTGATTTTAGTATGAGGTATATACATAGTTTATAATTATAAGGATATATCAATTCGTTTTCTTCAAGACTGTAAGTACAAATGGGTCTTAAATGTTTTCAAAGGCTTTATTGGCCTCTGTAGAAACAATTATATAATTTTTCTCCTTCAACTTATTGATGTGATCCATTTTATAGAATATTTCTTATTATTGAATCATCTTTGAGTTCCTGTTATGGAATTGCTTTTCATTGCAACATTTAGTTCTGTAGTTTGAGGAAGTCTTTTTCTTTTTCTTGATTTCCACTCTCTTGTAGCCAGAGTATTTCTCAAATGTATATATTTCCCAAGAATGAGTTCATGGGTGGTTAGCTTTCAAAATCTTTTCATATACATAAAGCATTATTTCTGCTTTCATAATTAACAGTTCGGCATTTTTGAGTCAAGATAGTCTTCCCTCCCACCTTGAAGGAAGCCTTCTATGTCTCCTTAGTACATGCTGCTGAGCTCAAAACCCTGCCAGTGACCTGTGCCACCCCGTCCCCTTATCTTTC